GGGGAGGGGGGAGAGGAGGGATGGGGGTGCCAGGGCTGCAGAGCCACGGCGGCAGGGCCAGAGAGGGGATGCCAGGGATGGGATGCCAGGGACACAGCACCAGGGGTGGGATGGCCGGGATGCCGTGCCAGGCAGTGCCCAGGATGTGGTGCCAGGAATGGGATGCCCAGGACGCAGTGCCGGGCAGTGCCAGGGAGGCAACGCATGGCACGCAGTGCCAGGGATGTGATACCCAGGACACGTGCCAGGGATGCAGTGCCATGAGGGCAGGGGCAGGGATGCAGTGCCAGGGATGCGATGCCCAGGATGCGGTGCCAGGCGGTGCCCAGGATGGACAGCATGGGAAGTGGTGCCAGGGACGGGATGCCAGGCAGTGCCCGGGACGCGGTGCCAGGGACACAGTGCCAGGGATGCGATGCCCAGGATGCAGTGCCAGGCAGTGCCAGGGATGGACAGCATGGGACGTGGTGCCAGGGACGGGATGCCACGCAGTGCCCAGGATGAAATGCCAGGGACACGGTGCCAGAGATGGGATGCCCGGGATGCGGTGCCAGGCAGTGCCAGGGATGGACAGCATGGGATGCGGTGCCAGGGATGGGATGGCAGGGACACAGTGCCAGGGATGGCCGGGATGCCGTGCCAGGCAGTGCCCAGGACACAGTGCCAGGGATGTAAAGCCTGGGATGCGGTGCCAGGCGGTGCCCGGGATGGACAGCATGGGATGCGGTGCCACGGACGGGATGCCAGGCAGTGCCCAGGATGAAATGCCAGGGGTGGGATGCCCGGGATGCAGTGCCAAGGATGGACAGCATGGGATGCAGTGCCAGGGATGGGATACCAGGGACACAGCGCTAGGGGTGGGATGCCAGGGACGCGGTGCCAGGCAGTGCCCGGGACGCGGTGCCAGGGACAGGACCCACGGGACGCAGCGCCGGGGACGCGACGCCCAGGATGCCGTGCCGGGGATGCACGGCCTGGGACGCGGTGCCAGGCAGCGCCGGGCAGGCGATGCCCGGGAGGCAATGCCGGGGAT